CCCAGGTCTGTGCACGTGTGTCTCTTGTGCAGCTCGGACTTCACGTAGGCGAGTCCAGCAGTGTCAGCAGTGGCAAAGACCAAGTCGTCAACGTACACGAGGATGTAGAACGGCGGCAAAGAGGTGTCGGTGCGCAGAAACAGACACTAAGAGCAGACTAAGGATGAATGAATTATCAAGCAGGTGGGTACAAGTAGGAAAACCTAGAAATGTTGTACCCCATATAGTCAACCACACTACAGCCTACATAGACTATAGCATATAAGTTTGACACAAAATGACAATCGGACGTCGATACAGCACGTTGACACGACACGACATATTCGTGGTGCAACATTATGCAGACGTTTATTATCGGACGTCCCGAAACAATATATTGATACTAAATGTAATACTGTGTAGGATCACATTTTTGTGTACCATGAGTTAAATACCGTCACCCCCCGGATATACCCCCATGGGGGGCTATAATATAACATGTTTTTTTGAGGGGGTGGGCTTATAATATAGTAAATTTATAAGCGCCGGCGTTTATAATTTGTCAAAATTGAATTTTGTTTTTAAATATACCAAATCGAAGCATTCTCAAAGGCGGATTCACCTGGGTCGAGAACGTTCGAAACTGTGCATGCATTGCGCGTGAAACGGCCAACAAGGCGTGGCTTCACGCCTTCCACGCCTTGTTGGCCAGGCCAGGTTTATCGAACGTGAACCTGGCCCATGCCAGTGCACACGTACCTCGCATCACAGCGGCCCAATCAGGGTTGCATGCGATCGTGGGCACGTCGTGGTTCAGCCACGGTGTGCCCATCAACAGCAAAATTCCCCGCCACCGAGGCAAGGAGCTGCCCAGCTCAGCTCCTCTGCGGGGAATCTTGACTGGGGCCACCCTTTTCCCGCAGAGGAGGTCGGGCCGCGAAAATGAAGGGGTCTCGGGCGAGGGCTTCATACAACCCTCATTCTCGACTTTTGCCTTCAGTTTCTTTGTTCGTTTGGCCTGCCGTGGCCATGGCGGGCCTTCCACGCACGCATTTCTTGTTCCGCCGCCATCCTGCTGCCAGAGAAAACACCCGCCGAGACACCTGTGACTACTCTCAATGGCAGTCGCGCCCTGCGCCCGTCCCTCCGTGTCAACCAGTAGCTCCTCCCGTTCCTCCCACTCCTCCAACTCCTCCTGCACCTCCCGCTCCCTCGGCGCCTCCGGTTCCTCCAGCTCCTCCGTCCCCTCCTGACCCGCCTGTGTTTGGTGCTCCACGTCAGGGGGTCCTGCAGCTTCTCCTCCCTCCTGGCTACTCGGCGTTTGACGCGTACCTGTCCGAGCCCGACCGCGCCGGTGGCGCATCGTCTTCCTCCGCACCGTCGCCACGCTGGGGAGCCCCGGCTGATTGCCCGTTGGACGAATCCGCGGCTGGTGCGGAGGATGACGTGGAGTTTTGGGCTGCCGACGGTCTTCCAGAGCACCTGCCTATTCCCACCTTCCCCCCCCCCAATAAGAAACGGCCCCACCCTTCTCGCGAGAATCGCGATGCCCGTCCTCCCTCCCCCAGGCACAAGCCTTCAAGTCACAAGCGGCACTCTTACACATCGCAGGAGAAACTGCAGTGGATTCTCAAGCTTGAGTCCGGGCACATGAGCGTGCGGCAGATGTCTCGCCAAACCGGCATCTCCCGAAGGTCACTCGCAGAATGGAAGACCCGGAAGGCTGACCTGGAGGGCGCGCATGCTGCTCGCAAGCGTCTTCATGGGCGCGGAAGGAGCTCGTGGTATCGCGACATGGAAGCTTAAGTCTACAGGAGGTTTCTTGCCCACCGTAAAAAATGTCTCGCGGTCTCGATCGCTCGCCTACAGAAGTGGTCGCATGAGGTGATGAAAGAATTGCACCCACAGGTAAAGTGGTCCGGCTCGCAGCGGTGGACTGAGCGGTTTCGCCGCCGTTGGAATCTGACAACCCGAGCGAAGACCAGGGTCGGCCAGAAGCTTGCTGCCAGTGAGTTTGTGGGAAATGGTTGCAGTTTAATGTGTACTGCTTTGTGTTGTTTGTCTCTTTATGTTTCACGGTTGAATTTTAACGCGTCATTAATACTGTCTTCTCTCTTTCCCTCCCACCCGTACTCCCAGACTGCGAGACTGACGTCAGGAATTTCTGGAAGTTCGTGCGTCACACCCGCCGCCAATACAAGATTGACCCGCAGTGGATAATAAACGCGGACCAGACACCACTGTGGCTCGAGATGCCTGCCGAACGCACAGTCGAGGAGGTGGGTCTGCGCTCTGTGCCTATCCGCAGCGGCGGCTATCAGAAGGAGCGAGTTACGGTGATGCTCGCCTGCACTGCCAGCGGTGAGAAGCTGAAGCCGTGGGTCTTCTTCAAACGGAAGACCCTGCCTAAAGGGGATTTCCCTTCAGGTGAGCATTAACACCCACTGCTGCATGTTTTTTTTTTTCAATGTCTACTGATGTTGTATGTGCGTTTGTGGCTGTGCAGATGTTACGGTGTCCGTCCATCCCAACGGTTGGATGGACGCGGACGGAGTCATTGAGTGGCTCGACGGGGCAGTGAAGCCGTTCGTCCACACCAAGTTTGGAGTGAGGCCCCGCAAAGCGATGCTCGTCTTGGATTCGTACCGCGGGCACCTGACTGCGGAGGTGAAGAAGAAGTTCGGGGAGCTGAACATCGTCCCTGCCGTTATCCCAGCTGGCTGCACCTCGGAGATTCAACCTCTGGACGTCGCGGTGAATCGCTCCTTCAAGGCATCCGTTCGACAGCTCTACCAGGAGTGGTTCGAGAGCGAGGGGGTCGACACCTTGACAAAGAAAGGTGAGAGAGGCAGGCCATGCCTGTGCTGCTTTATCAGTTTGTAGCGGTGGCTGACTTTTGATTGTTTAAATTTTATGGCAGGCAACATCAAGAAGCCACCACCCGAGCTAACGCTCAAGTGGATATCAGCGGCTTGGAAGGCCGTGCCCAGGGACTTGATTCAACGGGCTTTCCTCACCTGTGGCATTAGTAACGCCCTGGATGGGTCCCAGGACAAGATCTACCTGCAACACAGGCGCGACGAGCTTGAGGGCGACGAAATAGACATCGACGACGACATTGCAGCAGATGGCTTTTTCTGCAACAACGTAGAAGAACCAGAGTCGGACTCTGAGGCCGACCCGGATGATCCTACCGCAGCTGATGACTAGATTACGTAGATCTAGAAATTGCTGTAGCCTGTGAGACTCGTAGGTAGATTTAGAACTGTAATTAGAAAAAACTGTAGATAAACTGACTTTGTATTTAATTATATGAAAATATAAGTTGTTAATGTGGTTAGTGAAGTTTGTAGGAAAAAAATATTTAAAAAAGTGGCGGTTATAATGTGTAAGGTACAGGTATGCGGTTATAATCTGTACGACTCTAGGGTATGCGCTATAATCGAGGAGGGGATATAAGCACCATATGCCAATTAGAAGCGCCAGGCGCTTATCCTAGGGTGGCGCTTATATCCGGGGGGTGACGGTACTGTCGCTTTTGATTAATGAATTTAAATTGAAATCTTCCGGAACAAGCAAATTCATGATTCACACAACTATTGACATGAATTAAAAATGAAATGTTTGCATGTCTATGATCTTCTAATCTACTCACACAATGCAGTTTTAACATGTGTGATGTATAAGCTCAGAGGTGAAGTGTTCGTCTTGGGTGATGCGAAAACTGGACGCATTTCAAATATTCAGTTTTGCCTATATTATGGTCTCGTCGCCCCCCATCTCATTCCCGCCTGAAATTAACTGGAAATCAAGAGGCACCGAGTGGAATTTGACGCGACTCGGTCGCCACTGCATTTCTCGGCAAAACCCAACTTTGACCAGTGACTTCCGCCGGTTTTCAGTCGGAAATGGAGCGGAAAGTTGCGCCTGGCAATTTTTGTCAAATGCCACCCTCGAAACCACCAATCCCACCTCCAACCTGAACCGGGTTTTTTGTGATGTGTTGCAAAAACGGCATCTCGTTCTCCGATGAGGAAGATGCGTGCTCGCGTGGCGTCGGGAATGCCGATTGCTGCAATCATGCGATTTTGCCGCACACGGAAAAGCCATTCGGGTTCACCGGTCTAGCCTCGAAAAGCTTTGTACGCGGAGGCGTAAAGAAAATCCTATGGTGGCTGATGATTACCGTCGTCGCTGCGTCACTAACTGCTAGAATATTCTTCTCGGGTAAAAGAGCACGTCCCCTTTTCCCTCCCTGCCCTCCCGTTTCCGCCCTCCGCTACCTCCGCCGTAACTCTAGTTCCCTCGCCTGTTGCTTAGTCACTTTTGCCATCTACTTCTCCTTCTGAGCTGTAATACACCGTACGGAAGCATGACTGCTGAGAATTCTCGGAGAGGCACAAGCATCGTAAGCGTCCCTTGCATCATACAGTGTCAAAAACTTGAAGTTCTTCCCGTCTCCCTTCCCCTGTCCATTCGCCTCATTCCCCTCGTACCTCTTCGCCTTTCCTCTTTCGCCCCTGCCCTGTCCCCGCTACGCCCTTCGTGTGCACGCACCCGCGTGCCAGGCCTGCCTCTTGGTTGCATGGTCGATCCGCCACTGGACACGGCCCACCCTGAGTGTGAGTGCGAGCTGATTCGTTCCCGTGCCTTGCCCGCCCGTGAACTCGCAATTACACTCTCAGCTATTGTCCGCGTGCCCGCTGAAGGCGCTTCTAGCTACTCATGCATACTCGGAGTGAGAATTTGGAGCTTTAATGAAGTGAAATCTCTGGACTTCTGCTTTTCCCGATCGCTCTATGCTGCTGGTTCATTTCTCGTGCTTCCTCTAAAGATGTTCCCACAATTTTTTATCGTCTTTGGCGCGTGTTTCCACGTATCTCTCAGGGAAAGAGTCCGCGGCCCATTCTTCCGCCTATGCCTCCGACACAGTCCCGTTGCGCCAGTTCCTCCTCCGCCGCACAGCATCAGGGGACGGCGGAAGCATCGCCGTCGCCCCGTGGCGCATTTGGGGCTGCAATATGGGGGATCGGCCCGGAGAGGGGGCGGAAGTACGGGCGGGGCTGGGTTTGGATAGCGTGGTGGTACGGACCTCGGCGGAAGCGACGGGGAACCTGGTCGGTGTAAGCGAAGAGGTGGAGGGAGAGGGAGCAGAGCAGGTTGGGTTGGGGGATGGGGTAGCGGCGGGGGGGAAAAGGAGAGATAGTGATGCTGCTGCTAGCGAGGATGAGGAGAAGGGGGGAGGGGAGACGGAAAAGGTATTGTTTGTGAAAGGACGTGTGAGCCACACGAGCATGGAGGGCGGAAGCGCGGATGTGAATGAAGGGGTGTCGGCTGAAAAACAGGTGATTGATGAAGGGGAACGAGTCAAACTCATTAGAAGAGACACCAGCGACCACATCAGCAGAAGGAGCAGCAGCTGAAGAAACAGAAGCAGTGAAGAAAACAGAAGCAGATAATGAAGCAGCAGCAACGCCAGAAGCAGCCGCAGCAGAGGAAACCACAAATGCAGAAGCAGTTGAGACAGCAGAAGAAAGGTCGGAGCTGCTCGCAAAAACTAACGCCACACCACAGCTCCCCCCAACTCAACCAGAGCTGGCGCAACCCTCTTCCCAATCCCAAGGTGGCGTTGACATCTTCTTTCAGGGCGAGTTCGGGTACGAGCTAATCGCCGTCCTCCCATTCGCCTTCTGGCACCATCTCAACGGCTCCCTCCGCTCCACCACCTCCTGCGGGCGGCATTCTTTGGCCTCGATCTACTGCTTCAGCCCCAACCACACAGATGACGCCACGTGTTATCGAAGTAACATGAAGGACAATGTCGCTGCATACGGGTTTCCTCATGGCATTCATTATAGTCGCATCCTGCCAGCCTGGCAGCCGCCCCCTCTTGCACACTACTTCAGGAAGCTTCCGCCTGTGTGGCCGGAGATTCCCAAGGGATCCCGGTTGGTGGTGATCGGGAATAAATACGAGCGGGAGTGGGGCCATTCTCTGGTAAATTTCATCAATATACCGACTCTATTGGGAATCGTTGAGTCATACTTAGAGGCGGGATTTTATGTGGTGTACAACAACCCAGGGATGTCACTGGAGTCAGACCACTGGCAGGTTGTTAAGGACGGCACAGATTTGGGGGACTATGATGCGTTACAGGAGCGGTATGGGAAGAATCCACGGCTGCAGGTCATGCAAAACCTTCAAAAGCGGTGGCCAGACTTGGGGTTCAATGACGTGCAGTTCAGGATGCTAGCGCGGAGTGTGTGTTTCGTGAGTGTGCAGGGAGGGGGCAGCATTGTGGAGAGCTTCTTTGGTGGAAAGAATATCATTTACTTTCGTGAGGGTCAGGAGGTGAAAGGTGGGGCGTATGAGAGGATTTACCCGCACCTGTCGGGAGCGAAGTTGAAGGTGGTAACCAGTTATGAGGGGCTGGTGAAGAAGGTGGATGGGATGATCAAGAAGAACAAGTGCCATGTGAAACTTCACTAACTTGTGTCCTCTTGTGGGACCAGAAGGAAGGGACTATTTGTATGGACTCAAACAGTTGAAAGGGAACAGGGTTGGGGGATAGGTATTAGCATGATTGGGTATTGGATGCAGACTACTACCAACCTCTAGTTCTTGTAAGATATATTGTGATGAATGAAGTTTGTGCATCAATGGGAGGAAGCTAAGCGAATCACACGAGCAATGATTCCCTTAAAATCATCGAAACCATTTAACAGAAAGGATAACACTTATAAAGTTTCAATTACAGCAAACAAGTGTGGCGTTGGAACCTTTTCGACCAATTGAGGAAGCTAAACGTGGAGACGACTGCGACTTTCACGTCGTTTGGCCATTTGTGTGACTGCATTCTCCCTTCCGCTGATCCTCGTCTTTCTAGCTGCCCAGTGTCCCATCTCTGAAAGATAACCATGTGAAGGCTTGGCATCGAATGCTGCTCCGTACATCTATACAGTATCGTCACGTTGTTCGGGCAGCAGCACATCAACTTGCGCAGCAGGTTTCAGCCTGCCTGTGATTTGTCGAACTTCCAGAGGTTAAGGTTAAGGTTATATATTGATCGTAATCAGGCCTCTGGATAGGATTTGGGGCACTCTTACTCGCAAGGCCAGTTCGCTGAAGTTGGTCTTTCAGTAAGGGTGGGTCAGCCATGTCAGTCTTTTTTATCAGTTTCAGCTGGAAAGGTACCGTACTCTTGCTCATCAGTGTGCACATTGTTTTCACCCTTTCATGTTTAGACTTAAGCGTAGATTACATATTAAAGATGGCACTAACTAACAGAGCAACTAAAGCACCAGTGCCTGGTTCTAACAGAATAAGCTTAGCAGTGAGCACAAGTTAAAACGGTATAGGAACTCTTGAGCAGGGCGGCGCTTCTTGCCAGCATTGAACAATGCTACCGTATGCATGAGCCCCGCGAGTGAAACTCGACTTAGGTTGCTGCCGCCACTTTTGCCGTGCCGAACACGAACCAGATTTCAGCTTCTTGGCAGCACAGTTGTGAGCAGCAGCGGTATTCTCCATTACATGTGTTGTGCTTTTCGTGGTGTCAGTTCAGGCGTCGTGGTGCACGTCACGCCCCGCTTCAGCCAGCAGGGTCTCAGCCTCAGTAGAGGCAACGACGGGCTCTGGTTCAAGCAGTCGCTTAGAAGGCACTGTTAAAAAGCGAAGGCCCTTTCATGAGGGTGAGTGCAGGACATGACGACGAGCCTCGTCGTCATCCTCACCGCTGGTGACAACAGCCATGATGAGGGACTTGGAGGTAGATGCTGGAGCTATGCTTATAATAGCAGCAGGAAGGCATGGTCTGCAAACCCTAGACGAGACCACGAGGAGGAAAACTGGATGAATAAAATGAACTGACTGGGTTGGGGTTGGGTGAGAGCGGCTGGTCGGTGGGTGGTGGTCTGGTGGGGAGGGAGGAAGGGACCAAGCAGGACTCTCCTGGACGATGCACACCTGTGTGGCGCTGTGTGTCACCGCCAGGCAGGCAAAATGCATGTGGTACGGGTACAGGTTGCGGGACTGTGGCTGTGGCGACGCGAGCGGTCTTGGCGACGCGCAATTCTGGTGACTCCGGCAAATCGCGGCAGAAATCACGTCGGTGAATCAACCCCCCCCACCCCCCTCCCCCCTAAAAAATCGCATTGAGAAAGCTTGCTTTCTTATTCTTATCAATTGGCATCGTTCTCATTACAAATGGGCATCGTTCTCATTACAAATGGCTTATTACAACATTTGCATCACCGTTGAACACAAGCTAGTGCAATCGAATAACACTAGCTAAGATGTACCCTATCCAAGTGGCATTAGCAAGGCGGTTTACTCTGGGGTGGGTGGTGGGAATGTTGAGTGAGCCGTTTGAAAATCGAGAAACGTGGGTGGAGGGAAATGAACTCCAACCCACGGTTTTTGTAGTTGGAGAAGGGCGTTTAGCGCGCTTCGACGATGCCAATTGTGCAGTACAAGCAGCTTCGCTTTCACAATACACAATTTTAAAAAACACAATGTGTGTTTAAAAATTATAATATTGAGAAAGCTTGCTTTCTTATTCTTATCAATTGGCATCGTTCTCATTACAAATGGGGTCTCTGAGACATGGCCAGCGGGGGCCTCCGGTTGCGTACGAGTGCCTCTGAGTGTTGTGCCGATGACGCTGCATGCGTCAGGTCTTGTAGGTTACGGGAGGCTTCGATAAGAGGCTCGACGTATGGTGTAACATACATTTCCTTTGCTGAGTCGCTTCGCCATCTGCCCAACCGTTTGAAGACCCTGTCTGGCACGCCCGTGTTGGCTGCTACTATGGCTACACCTTTTCGGAAAGAATGTGTCCCGAGATGCAGGTCTCCAAGGCCCACTTTTGCGAAGGCTTCCTTGCACCAGTTCCGGATCGTGGTGTATGAGGGTGGCCTTGCTTGGCCCTCGCTGATTGAAGCGTGGACGAAGACCCGAATCAATGGTCCCTCTGACTGTGGGCCATAGCCGGCCAGTTGGATGAAGCGTCGGGTGCAGCGCACTGGGCAACAAGGGTGTGTCGTTGCTGCAATGGGAATCCAAGTGCCATGACCAGCCTGATCGGTCTTGGAGTGTGGTATGAGAATCCACATGACCTCGTCGTCGAATTGGATGTCTTGCCATTTTATGGCTGCCAGGTCCAAATATCGCAGGAATCCTGAGTACATGAGGATGGGGATCAACCCTTTCTGAAACGTCGCGGGATCGTCGGACTGCAAGTAACTCGCGGCCATGTCCCGGACTTGTTGGATCGATACGGGTTCCTTCATACGAGTAGGGCGAGGGCGGTGTCGTTTTGCACAGTCACGGACTTGGGTGGTGAACGGTCCGGTTGTCGGGCATTTGCTCCCAGTCATGCGATGAGTGAAGCTGACCGCCGAGCACGTCAGCTGCACTACGGACAGGGTGGCTTTGCGTCGGATTGCGTATACCAAGTAGAGTGCGAGGGTCATGTCGGATGCCGGAAGAAATGGGAGGTTCACTTTTGTGCAGAAGGCTCGAAACTTGGCCCAGTATGGTTCGTATGTCCAGATCGTAGAATCGGCGCGAGATTGCGCGAGCATGTTGATAATTTGGTCGTGTAACTTTGGGAGCAAATCTGAACACAGGGCGTTGATGTTTTGAATTAGTCAATTGCCATTCTCAGTGCAATAATTGGGCTGTGCGGTAGTCCCATGCCTGAAAAAGCATTGGAATGGGACCCTGCGTCTAGGCATTGGCTTCCGTGTGTCAGAGGGATATGCGCGTGGATGTGTGGAGCCCAAGTGCATGGGGAGGGTTGCAAAAGTGGCCACCAGCTTGCGCCTGGCCAGTGCGGAACTATCAGTGTGAGTGATGCATGGGTGCGTTGTGCGTGATGGAGGACGGCTGGGACCAGTTGGGGCGGGGGGAAGGCGAAGTTGTTTTCGGGTGTCCACGCGATCGAGAACGCATCAACTGCGATAGCTTCTGGGTGGGGAATCTTTGTGCAGAAGCGCGGCAGTTGGGTGTTGCGGGAGTT